TTTGACACAACATTGTAAAATGACTATAAATCAATAAAAAATGTTAAAAATAAATAAATAAATAAATAAAAGATTGTTAGATCACTACAGGTGGGTGAGCACAATGGTTTTGTTCTGTGGAGAATGAGAAATAGGTGAAAAGATGACTGAGTAACATTAAGGGTACCACAAGTGCTGAAAGTCAGACATGACACCACTCTGCATCCTTGGGTAATGTTCTCCTCAGTTCTGAGGAGCATGAATATAGGACTGAAAATGTGACATTCACACTGACTCTCAGTTGGAGGTCTGCTTAGTGCATATGGCAGAAAGATCTAGGGACAAAGAAGCTGAAGGTCCTGGTGGGAGAAGTGAAGTGATGATCCCAGGGCACTAGGTTAGCTGAGGAAAGAAAAAGAGATGAGGAGGAAACAAGCAGACTGAGATCATAGGAGGAGACAGGCAGACAAGCAACCACAAGTCCTGGAGTGAAGAGTTGGTGTGGCAGAAATCAGGACATGGGTGACCCAGCAGGGTTAAGGGTTGTGACCATAGAGTGACATGACAGTTTTTCACGCAGGTTTCCCAGAGAGGAATTAGATACTTCTGACAATTACTAGTTATGTGCCGGTCTAGGACATTCATCTGTATGTCTTTCAGAGGTGGAAGAAGGCAGGAAAATTGCTTGTTAAATTACCCTTCTGAAACTCAACATCTTTTTTCCTTAGAACTGTGCAAACTGAATTGCTACCAGGGCACATGGGACTTAACCTGATCAACTTAGCACCTCGTGTTTTTAATTTTCACTTGGGATTTTAAAATACCTCTCCACGGAAAAGCAAGACAAACTTGCCTTCCCCACCCCCATGAATATAATGAAAAGAGACAGGCTGAGACCTACAGATGGGTCGTACTGGGCCTTGCCAAAGTATGGAATCAGGATATGAAGTCAGTTTCATTAATTGCAGCAATTGATGGCTCCAGCAAACAGTAAGGCTTACAATTAGAGCTTCTCAAAAGTTTTGGGGCCACTGGAGAGATTATAAAATAGAATTAAAGTTATTAGTACACATTCAAGCAAAGACTCGTCTGAAGTCAGGCAATTTCTAACTTCTTATGAATTGGCCAGGCCCCTTGATAGTTCTGTGAAATGTAGTGTTCCATGAAATTTCACTAAGGCCTTTAATGGACTATCCATTTCCTTAATTATAAACACATATTTCTTCTCTATTGCAAGATTTCTCCTTAACTTCACAGATCTGTCAGTGAAAGAGAAAACTTGGATACCACATGTGGAAATGACATAAGTGGCGCACAGACCTGGGCAAATGAGCACATAAAGGTGTTGTTCCCGTAAAGAACTGTTGGATTCATTTAGGTCTTTGTCTTTTGACGAATGAACTCTTTCTAGTACAACCCTCCGCTTATCATGGAGTTATAAATCAGAACTGGAAAAGACATCTGGAAACATCTGGCCACTTCCAAAGCAGTAACATTGCAGCATATTTCCTGACATACTCCACAGACTCTTCCAGCCATTTGGGGTCTTCCATGTTAAAAGTTCTCAAGAAGAAGTCCTGGTCTGACTCTTTTTCTATTTTATTTCCCAAAAAAGGGCAGTCGAATAGCTAGATGTACACATTTCCATTTTACAATTACTTCTTATATAATATTCTATTTGTTTAAACATTGGTCTCCTTACTAGGTTAGCACTTCAAGGAAGGAAATGTGTATTCATCTCTATAACCCCCATATAGAGATGAATATATGTGCTGGGACTGTATTGTGCAGAAACAAGAGTACCAGCAGGCAAGTAGCCTTGTACCAGAAGATGTATTGCAGTATTGGCAGCAAACTGGACCTAACCTGAATGTCCATCAACTGGGGAATAACAGAAAAAGCTATGCTGACTATATTATGGAATACATCTAGCTTTGGAAAAGAATGAGCTAGAGATCCATCAATTGACTTGGAGGGATGCCCCTGATACACTGCTAGTGAGAAAAGCAACTTAAAAACACAGTACAGAGTGTGATTCCAAATTTTAGAAATAAATGAAACCCTGTGAAAAATATGTGTTTATAGCTTTGGAGGAACAATCGCTAGAGGTTACCTCAAGGATGATGAGAAAGTCAAGGACAGAGAGTGTGGGAGGAGATAAAAACAGTGCCAGCAAAAGGCAAAAGTACTCATGCCATATGATAAGGGAAAAGTTAGGATACATGTTTTTAGTAATAATATTTTAAAAAGAAGTTTCCCTTTATTGACATCTTATGGATGGGTGTCAGGCACGGTTTGCTCATAAGGCTTTACACAGACTATCTCACTTGATGCCTGCAGCCACCCTGTGAGGTAGGCACAGTTATCTCCCTCATTTCTCAGATGAGGAAACCATGGCTCAGAAAAGTTTACAAACTGACCCATGGTCATATAGTAAATGGCAAAGCTGAGCAAAAAAATAACAGGCAAAGAGGCCAAAAAATGCAATTGCCTTTTTTCCTACAAATTAACCAGATCAAACGAAAAGAAACAATTTAATTAGGTAATAGGACTGGGAGTTCATTGGTTTCAATTTTTGCCATTATTTAGTATTACTTTTAAATAAAGCATTAAAAATTTAAAGAATAAAATGAGTAGTATGGTGGTTTTTAAATCATGTCCTCAAATGCTTTGATAATCCTCTGAGAGAGAGAAGAGGTCTGTGCTGCTTCCCTCGGAATCTGGGTGGGGCTGAGACAGCTAAACCAACCCCACAGCAGGAGCAATTTGTGTGTCTTTGGAGGCTGGAGCAGAAGAGGTGACACAGCTTCCTCCTGGTTCCCTTTCTGGGAATGTCGCTCTGGGGAATCTAGCCACCAAGCTGTGAGTCTCATTTGGAGAGAAATGAAGGCCCTCTGCCAACAGGCAGCAGTCACTGCCAGACTTCGGACGGATCCGGCCCCTGGAGCCTCAGTACCTTCCAGCAGAGGCCCTGGACATTGGTGAGCAGAGATAAACCATGAGCTATGTCCTGTCTGGATGTCTGACCTCCAGAATCTTCCACAGGCATAAAAAATGGTTTGGTTGTTGTTATTGTTTGGTTTGAGGTGTTTTTTTTTCTCCTAAATTACATAACAACAGTCAGATCAGATGAGGACCTTCTACAGTGATGTCTGTCAATTTAGGGTAGGTTTCCCCTTGGGCTTATTTTTCTGCTCCCTTTATGTATCATGATGATTTACTTTATGTGCCAAGCGGCTGGACCATGGTGCCCAAATATTTGGCCAAACATTTTTCTGGATGTTTCTATGAAGGTGTTTTTCCGATGAGATTAACATTCAAAATGGTAGACTTTGAGTAGAGCAGATTACACTTCATAATGTGGGTGGGCCTTACCCAATCAGTTGGAGACCCCCAAAGAATAAAGACTGACCTCCCCAGATCAAGGAGTTCTACCAGCACAACGCCTTTGGACTTGAACTGCAGCTCTTCCCCAAGTCTCCAGCCTGCCAGTCTACCCCATCAGATTGTAGACTCACCAAGCCTCCAGTATTGTTTGCTAATTCCCTGAAAATAATCTCTCTCTCTCTCTCTCTCCCTCATTGGTCTGTTTCTCTGGAGAACCCTGACTGATACACGTACTGTACCTTTCACTCTGCTTCCCAAATTCCTCACCAATTCCTCCAGCATCCTAACCTCACTGTAGTATCCAAGTAAATCCCCTCCGTTTAACTTCATATGCATTTGATGTATTTAGGAGGGCTAGAAAAGAGACTAATGCTGGCTGGAGAGTCAGTCTTCTAAACGTCTTCCCCTTCCTCCCCCCCTTAGGACATCCATCATATGCAATACACATCTGTTGCCAATAAATGAGCAGCACCTATGTAGGATGATGACAATGAAGGTAGAAAAATCTAAGCAGATAAAAGTCTGGGAAGGAGATCACCTGTGGCTTTTGCGCTGAAGTGGCTTCATAGAATTATATATGCCATTAAGAACACCTGAGGAATAAAACGATCACATGCAGGCAAAGCAAAAAAAAGGTGCAGCTTACCCCTCAAAGCAGTGGGCAACTGTCAGAATCCACTTCTTGGCAATGAGGACACAGCCACAAATGTGTCCACTGGGTTCACTCTGAAGGGAACACTGCCACGGCCACCTTCCAGGGCGACTCGTCCGACCCCCGAGGATCCTCTTGTACATTCGGGCAGCAGGGCGGCGCCCACAGTCTACCAAGGAGCAGGAAAGAGGGTGTGACTCACTGCCAAAGCCAGCTAGAGGCTTGCATCTTTGCTATTACATGCAAGCCATCATTTTTCCCCTGAGCCAATCCAGTTAAATTAAGTTCATAGCCCATCGTTTCACCACGAATTCTCTCACCTTGTTTAGTACACAGAAGAGAAATCTTACTTCTGCTGTGACAAGACTGCCTAGGGTTGGAAACATAAAGTGGCACAATATTCAGTTACATATGTATTGTTTATTTCAAACACTTTACCAATGGAAAGCAAGACAGGTTATACCTTGGGCAAGAATTCTCAAGGCAGGGCTATGGTCAGATAGCACCTCAGGGGTCAGAGTATATGAAGGATTTTTTTTTTAGTGTATTTAGTATCATCACAGTATAATTTCACATTTGTGCAAAGAGAAATGACTGTTAGTAAAGTTTCCCACATTATCTTGGCTGGTGGGAACACCCAGAAAATTGACTTAAACAATGGTTTTCAAAGTAGGGAGGGGAAGGGAGGGATCAGACAGTTTCTCAGAATCTGTGGTGAGGAGGGAGCATGTCAGATTTTTAATCTTGTGGAGAGGGTGTAAGCAAAAGAAGTTGAGAAATCGTTTAAAGAAAGAAAACATTACTTCAAAAAGAGAGCAGATAAAGGAACTGAATATTTAGACTGGAAAAGAATCTAGCTGAGACTTTCAATGTGAAATTGTGTATCTATGATTAGCTGACAGGAAACAGGGGGCGGATTAAATTTATTCCATGTCACTCAGGATGGCACGATCAGAACCAGGAGACAGAATTTATAGGACATGCAGGTTCAGGAAAGGAAGCACTTTCTAAAAGTCAGAGTAAAGCTTTGAAAGCAAGAACATGGCTGTGTTTAAGCACCTATCAATGTGGCTGCACAGGAGAATTCAGTTTAGGCTACATTAAATTGTAATCATAAAGCTCTCTTCCATGCATTTATTCACAACGTAAACTTAAAAGAAAAAAAACACTTTGGGACTGTCAAAAATGCTGTGATGTGCTTAGAGTACTAGATCTCTCAGAAAAAAAAAACCCTAAATATGTCACTTCCACATTCCTTTTTGAAGATTTACTGTATTTTCATTTCTTACTAAATGTGTATGGAGATATGTTCAATCAAGACAATAAATTATATAACACAGGAAAAGCACATTTGTGTCTTGCCTTCTCACAAACTGAAGTTGTATCTCTTCCTGACACTCTAGCTTGTTATCCATAGTTCTTTGTAGCACTTCCAAATATCTGAGATTCATTTCGTTTATTATTAGCTTATAGTCTCTCTGTCCACCTATAAATCTATGTTTCCTTGAGACCAGGGTCCTTGTCCCCCTCATTCACTTCTATATCCCCTCAGAACTTAACACAGAACCTGGTGTAGAAAAGATACTCAATAATTAGTTGTTACATTAGATCTTAAAATCATAGCTTTTAGGAATAGGAAAAGACCAAAGACTACCTGCCTCAACTCTTTACTTTAAAGGAAACCGAGGTTGTATAGGACCACATATCTAGTTAGTAAGCCAGGACTAGCACCAGGCTACTGACTCCCAATTTAGAATGAGTTTATCTATCTATCTATCTATCTGACCTGAAAGAGCTCTTTTGGCATTCCCAATCTGGGAAAACAAATCACTCCGTTGAAAAATTCAGGTCCTTGTTTTGGAGGAAGTGCTTCAGCTGACAGCTATTCAGAAATTTGGCTGCAGAGTTAATCTATGGGGAAAATGTTAAGACATTCTAAAGAGAAATGGCCCACCTTTAGTTTTCTTCTTTGGAATTCGTAAAAGGTGATTTCTCAAGCGCTTACTAAAAGCTCTGGAGTCAGATGAACTTGGTTTGAGTTCAGAGTCAATCACTTACCATCTGTGGGGCTGTGAGTTTTGAGTAAGTTATTTAAATATTCTATGCCTCTATAATGCAATAAACACTAAGTAAGTGTTAATTCTTTCACTTTCCTTTCTCCTGCACCCCTACCCATAGTTGAGGGAGGCAGCGTTGCCATGAGTTTTCAGGGGAAATTTTTCAGAAGCATACTTTCAAGGCTACTTGATCATAATTTCATTTTGTGTCTGTTTTATAAAGGCCAATAGCTATTCTATGGAAGCTCTTTTTCGATGTGACAGATTTGGATTATCTTAAATTGGAAATAGAAGGAGAGCCCTGATGATAGACTTTGGCTGCATAATCCACTCTACACAGTTCTTGTGATGGGTGTCTTACCCTTCTACCAGTAGTCCATGCAAAGTGGTCCCATTAAGGCTTTCCCAGTTGGAGTACAACGTCAGCCACGGTTGGTCTTGCTCCTGTTCCTGAATCAATTTGGTCACAGATGGCTCTCTGATAGAAGAGCAAATACCAGATAAATATTCAAAAGACAATGATCTTTGACCAGGCAATATCATTATTTACCACTCATTCTCTTGCAAAAAAATGCATTACATTATTAGTTAATAATTCAAGAGGGGGATTAGTATTCAAAGAAGTTTGATGTGGAATGTGATCAGCAAGAGGGGATGTTACTAAAAGTGTACAGAAGCAATGGAGATCCACAGTGTTACAGCTGTTCCAGTCATTCTCTCTACTGACGTATATCTGAACCTTGTGAAGTGTTATAGTTCTAACCATACCACGTAAAAGTTCCAGTACCTAAAAAATAAGAGCAACTTTAGGCAGGGATCAAAAGTAAATTCAAAGTATCTTCCTGGAGTTTTTTTTTCTCCTTTTTCCTTACCCAATGTCATCCTGCAATAAAGCAACCCCTTAAAATAAATAATAAGAGAATCAATAGCCATTTAGTATTTGTTTAGATTGTAAAAATTATAAGCAAAATTTTTTCAACATATTACAAAATCACTGTTCACTAAAGATTAGGGAGGACCCTAGAAAATAGAGACAGGAGTTAAACAACATAATTTTTTGCTGCTTACCTATGTTCTCACTCCACCTCCACCTTACTTTCCTATGAATGTCTCGTTCAATCATTCCAATAAATATGGCTGCACTGTACCCAAGATTTAAAACACTAGAGTTTGGGATTAACAGATACACACCACTATATATAACAGATAAACAAGGGCCTACTGTATAGCACAGGGAACCATATTCAGTTTCTTTTAATAAGCTATAATGGAAAAGAACCTGAAAATATATGTGTATATATGTATGTATATGTATAACTGAGTCACTTTGCTGTGCACCTGAAACCAACATTATAAATAAAACAATTCAATAAAAAATATAGTTAAAAAAAGTATTTGTTTTTTTATGTAAAACTCCTATTCTTCATGAAATGGTTCATTTAGGCAATTCATATTTGAAAAACAACTTTTAGATTTTTATCACCTGATGCTATCAATGGAAAAGAGGTAGAGGAATTCATTTCAGACAGGAGGAATGAGGGCTTCATCTGAACCTGGAAGGAAGTGGGAGAGAAGGAAGCAGGGACGTAGTTGGATTTGGAGATGGGGAGAGAATTCACTGAGAAAATTCAAATCAGACAATCAGATTGCCTCTGCTTTTCTTTTCAAGTAGGAGGTGAGCTCCTTGGATGGAAGCTGAGGGTGACAGGGGAGCGCGATGAGGAGGACAGTGACGTGTGCGTGGAATTGTTCCCTGACGGAAGTATTTGGAGGAACATCTCAAAGATAACTTAGAAGAGTGGCAAGCAGCACCGAGGACTGAAATGAACCTGTAAATCTTGAAGGTATAGTAGCATCAAGTCTGCATGCTTCATAACTTCCTTTTTTGATCATGGAATGTCAAGTTTTTGCAAAAAAAAAGTGGGAGGGGCCACAGGAAGGGAAGAAAAGTTAAAATCAGTGGCGTTGAAAGAAAAATGATCATTCTGCCTGATAGTTGATTATTTTAAAACAACTACAACCACATAACAGAAATAAAAGAAATGAAAACTTCCCCAAATCCTGTTATTTCACAAAGAGCAAAACCTTCTAAAGAGAAGACTTAACAACAGAATATGAGCCAAAGATTAAAAACAAAGTGGCGTGCCTAATAATGAATAAATTCTAATCACTCAGTTTTAAAACAAATGACATAAACCCTGCCCACACTCTAAGAGACACTGCACAAGATTTAATTTATTTAGAAACTTAAATGCAGCTTAGATTACATAAAACCTACTGCAAAATGAGAATTTTTTATCTTGACCAAAATGAGGGTCTGGCTTTCTATCAATCCCAGAAGTATTGCATGCGGAGGCACAGTGGAATGGAAATTATGCAAGTCAGAGGCCACGCATAGGTGTTTCTCTTGATTCTTGCAGCCTGAGAATCCCTTTCTCAAACAGAACTCCCCATGGCCTCCTAAATCCAGGCATTTTACCAGCAAAAAGCCAAAGGAAGATCAGCTTCAGATCTGTTACTTAATGAACTCCTCCTTCAGGCAGATACAGGGCAACAAGGACTTGCACAAGGACAATTCGGGACAGGATTTGTATGGATGCTGGGTGAGAAAATCATTGTAAAGGACACTTCAGTATTTCAACTCACAGGATCCCTTCAGTCACCCAGAGGGATGTTTTTGCATTTCATTCATTAGCCTCCAACAAGAAAGGTAATTTAGCCTGAACCTCTCAGTTACATCAAGTGGAAAATCTAAGAAATCCATCATCAAGCAGGGAGTATCATTACAAAAATTAGCTTTCCATGAAATCCTTACACTTCTTACACACAAAAATAAATCTTTCAGCATTAGAAATGCCATCTTATGGTCCATTAAAAAAATTTCAGTGAATCCATGCGGTTCCACTTCTGCCATCGTACTGAATCTGAGCGCCTGTGTGATTGTAGCTTTTCTTATTTTTCTTTAAATTTTTAAAATAACAAAAGTGATACTTATACATGGAAAAAACCCAAACATACAATGAAAAAATACTCTTCCCATCCAAGGTGTATAAAAGCAACCACTAAAAGTAGCATTTGTGCATCCTTGCCAAGCTTTTTCTGTATATGCCCCTCTTTTCTTAGTCTATACACATTGTCCTGTGTGGTGTTGATGATGTTTTCATTTAATGATTTACCTTGGAAGTCTTTCCATAAGAATAGCTAGATGATGATGGTGATGGTGATAATGATGATAATAATAACCTATTTTCTATAGGTCAAGTCCTAAAAGACTAACTCATTTTATATTGTTTAACCTTCTCAACAACTGATACTTTGTTATCAGTCCCCATTTTGGAGATGAAAAAAATTGAGGCAAAGAGAGAACAAGTAATTTGCCCAAGGCCACCCAGCGAGGAGACGGTAGAGCTGGTATCTGAGTCCCTGTGGCCTGACGTCAGGGTACCACTTCTGATACCGTGAACACTCCGCAGCCCTCCTCTATTAATGGCACGCACCATGTTCTTTTCACGGATGCACAGTGTTCCGTTATACAGATGTACATCTGCCTTACCAAATCACTACTGATGCACAGGGAGCCTGGTTCCAATTTTTGGCTCTGACAAAAAAGCACCAGTTAACACTCTTAACCATTCACCTTTGCCTACATGCACAAGTATGACTTTAGAATAAATTCCTAGAAATAAAATTACTGAACCAAAATGTAAGTTTTTGATGAATAGCATGAATTTCTCCTTCAAAGAGTAATACCAATTTACATACTTATCAAGAGTAGGTATGTCAATACTTTTTAATTTTTATAACTACATGCATATGATGTAAATCATGCTGTTAAAAAGTATGTGGCACAGGAAACTGTATTCAATACCTTGTAATGGCCTATACTGAAAAAGAAAATGAAAAGGAATATATATATATATATATATATATATATATATATATATACACATATATATAAATGAATCACTATGCTGTACACCAGAAATTAACATAACATTGTAAATCAATTCTACTTCAATTAAAAAAAGTATGTGGAACTTGGCAGTTCAAATTTTGTTTGACAACTGGTAATACATTTGAGTTATTCTTTTCCATATTATATCAAGAGACAAGGCAATCCTGTTGGGTAGAGAACAAAAGAGCAAAAAAAACCATCTTCCTAGTGATTAAGCATCAAAGTGACTGTATCCTAAGGGAGTCCGTGCAGGGAATGCAGTCAGGCCTAAATGCTTCTAAATGCAGCCATGAAACCATATACAGAGAAGGGAATTTAAACAACAATCTAGTCCAGTGTCCTCATTTGACAGTATGAGAAAACTAAGACACAGACATAGACCCAATTCAAACACTTGTGGGGCCCAGAGCAAGAGGACAAATGGAGGCCTACATACTAGAAGCTCTATGTCTGCATATTTAGATGTTATGAATCAAACTAACAAACTGTTAAAGCAAATGCATTCTATCTTCCCATCCTGACAAATGTTATCTTTTAGGTTTCAAATATAGAATCCTGGACTCCTTGGAGCAGTAGTTTTCGAACTTTAGCATTCATCAGACTCTACCCTGGAGGACCTGTCACAGTGAAGATTGTTGGCCCCATCCCCAGATTTCTGAATTTGGTAAGTCTGAGAAAAGGCCCCCAAATTTGCCCATCTAACAAGATCCCAGGTGATGCAGATGCTATGGTCTGGGACCACACTTTGAAAACAGCCCTCTAGATCAGGCTCCAGGTGGGCATACCTCTTTGGTGGACAGACCCTTTGCCTCATGAGGTGAGATACAGCTGAGGAGAAGACCAGAGTGGTCCTTCCAAGTCAGGGTTTCTCGCCCTTGATACTACTGACTTTTTAAGCCAGATAGTACTTTGCTGTGTGGGGCTGTCCTGTGCACTGTAGGGTGTCCAGCATCACCCCTGGATCCTACCCACAGGATACAACAATCACCACACCACTCCTGGACTGACAATTGAAAAGCTCTAAAGAAATTTCCAAATGGCTCCTCGGGGCAAAGCCACTACTGATTGAAAAACACTGCTCTGAGTCCTGAGGTCCAGGGCAAGGCCCCTCTGCTCTGGAGCTAAAGGCAGCACTACAGAAAAGCAAGAGGATTTCCCTCAAATTTGCTTCTTGAAATCAGTGGCCATAAAACACATAAAAAAAATGTATACTCCCCCATACCCACAGAAGTGGGAAGACAGAACATATCTAGAATTCTGAAACATCCTGATATTCTGAAAGGAGTTACATATTTCAAGGCTTAGGTGAACAATCAGATCTCTAGACAACTTGGCCTATTCTTGACTCACTCGCAGGTCACCTAGTGTTTAGGAATAAGGCATCTCATGTTTGTGTTATAATTATGTTGGGGATGTTTACCTATTAAAGATCAGCACAAATCCCCCAAAGCCAAAGGCTTCTTTACTTTTGACAGCAAGTGAGTGGTGCAGGAATTACCTAGACATGCTACACATCCCAGTGG